GTAAATGGAAAGGTCAGCTGACTACAGGACAATGTTAGGATTGCTGGGCATTGTTGAAATCCTGCTCGAGATCTGTGCTCTATGTGAAATAATCTTCAAAGTCAAATCTTTGATCATGTTTTTTTTCCTCGTTCTACAATCCAGCTCCTCTTCAGGCACTGAGAGCTACACCTCACTACAGTGAGTCCATCAGTCCATCCGTTATTATTTAATTAATTATTTATTATGCCTTATTGCACATCACCTTTTATTCATTCATTCATTCATTCATTCATTCATTCAATCAATCATATTTATTGAGTGCCAGTCACCACTTTAGTTACTGGTGTTACAGAAGTGAACAGAACAAATTTGTGACCTCAAGGAACTTATCTTCCACTATCCTAAAAGATATAAGCCCTCCTGTAGCATCAGGCTTTGTTAAGAAAACAAAATTCCATGGACATAAAAAGTTTCATCAACTGTGGGAACAATTTATTATTTTTTGGTGTATTAGCCATAGTTCAGAGGAGAAAGGCATATCTCTTTAAAATGTTAATATTTGTAGTTGATAATGATAAAAGGCATTTGTTGGGTACCTAGCTGCTTTTGTATTGTGTTAGATTTAAAAGCAGCTGTGCTTTCTCAATATGTATTGCATTGTCAGAAACAACAGCAAATTATTTTTTTTGAGCTATAAATAAGGATTCCTCATTTTACACTTTCTACTGTAAGTTTTTAATTTATTATTATTTTTTAAAATATATCTTTATTGATTTCAGACAGAGGAAAGGAAGGGGAGAGAGAGAGATAGAAACATCAATGATGAGAGAGTCGTTGCTCGAGCCCACAACCCGGGCATGTGCCCTGACCTGGAATCGAACCCTGATCACCTGGATCCTAGGTCGACGCTCAACTACTGAGCCACGCCCTGCCGGGCTCTGCTGTAAGTGTTTAAAATTAAATAAATAAATAAATAGATATGAGCCCTCATCTTTGATAGAGAGTAATCCTCAGTGAAAACCAATTAAGATATGGAAATTTTCATATTTAAACACTCGGAACTGGAGTCACCTAAATCCTTATAATACCAAGGCCCAGTGGCAGATTGGGCCCAGCCAGCCAAGAAGTTAAGGAAGTGCAACCTGCCTCAGGGAATGCATCTTTATTTCTTTCCCACTAGTGCTGGGCTGGCTCCATGGAATCCAGCCAAGTGCAGTAGACAGAAGAGTAATTTGCTGGAATTTTTGTTACTAGTGTTAGAGCAAGGATTCATCATTATCTCCAGAAGAGCATGAATTAATTGACCATTATGACAAAACAGAGTCACTTCATCCAAATTCTCAGGACAGCATAAACCCTAGGAGATACAACTTCCTTTGCACTTACGAATATTTCCAAAAGGCATATACTAAAAAGGGCTTACTAACTGCATCTCCACATTTTCTCTTTTCTTTCTTTCTGACTTGTATTGGCATTTTCTTTTTTTATTTCTTTCCTCTTTGCTCACTAATTTTCATCTGCTTTCCATTTTTTATGAAATAAAGGCTCCTAGAACCACTAGCTCATGAAGCCACTGTTCAACCGTAGACAGTGGTCACAGGGACTTGAGGAAGAAAGCTGTCTTTAACTGAAATCAGGGTTTCCTCTGACTCTGCAAGAAGAAGAGTGGAGTGGGAGCATGGACTGTGAGTTTCCTCCAGAAAGAGATTTGGGTCCTTTGTTAGTGACCTCAGACTTCATAGCTCTGTTTTAAAGAACAAGAATAGAGTGCTTATCTATTGGGTCCAGAAAAAATAAAAAGAATGGAGTGAATGAGCTTTGTGCTCTATTTCTTTGCATTAACAGATATTTCTTACCTATTGTTTCAAAAAGGGAACATATTGGAACATGACAGTGTTTTTAACTGTTATAGAAGCATGTCCCCATGCCATATTCCTCTTTGTGCAGTAGATGTCAGCCTTACGCAACCTTTCTCTTCCTAAATCCATATGCATAAGAAAATGACCCTCTTACTTACCCTTTCCTTGGTTAAAAGAATCAATTTCTTTTTCTTTCCATCTTAAGCATGCAAAACAACAGGAAATAGTCACCCAGATATTGGAAACAGAGTTGTACTGAAGTACTTAAAAAATGGCCAAACCAAGTACCATGTGAAGGGGTGACAAATATTGAGGTGGGAGGGTGGGGAGGGCAGATTAAATCCTGTGGGTCACACTGAACAGATGTTAAGTGTAGGCTTCAAAGTGAGTCTCTAAAAGATACAGTTATGATAACAATTCAAGAAGAGGTGGACATGGCCCTATCAAAGGGTCTGCTGTTTCCTTCAGGCAAAGGAAACTGAGGCCTCAGCAAACAGCTATAGTCACCCAGGAAAAGTTCTCAGTGTAAATCATTGATATCCACCTTGTCTAATAGGTTAAGTGTCTTTTTATTTTTAATTTTTAATCCTCACTAGAGAATATTTTTTCCATTGCTTTTTAGAAAGAGTGGAAGGGGAGAGAGAGAGAGAGGGAGGGAGAGAGGGAGAGAGAGAAACATTGATGCAAGAGAGACACATTGATTTGTTGCCTCCCACACTCACCAATGAGGTATGTGCTCTTGGCTGGAATCGAACCCAGGGACTCTTCAGTCTGTGGGCCAATGCTTTAACCACCCAGCCAAACTGGCTAAGGCAAGCGTCTTGTTTTTGACCTCAGGTAAGACACTTCTCTGAGCCTCAGCTTTCTAATCTTTATAATAGGAAAAGATAACTGCCTTGTCTACCCAAAATATTCAATGAGTAAGGAAATAATTGAGATGTACATAATACAGTTTGTAGATGGTAAAGCACTATTTAAATGTAGAAATTAGAATAAAAGGATAGAATGTAGAATATAGTTATGAATGAAAACAAATTCAGTGCCCCAAATTTAAGAAACTTCAATTAATCATTCCTATAGATTTTTCTCAACATACTACACCAAGTTTTTTTTCTTCTGTGTTCAATGTTAGTCATATGGAATTGTAATACATTTAGGGTTTATTTCACAAAAACATCCCAACCTGAAGAGAGCCGTATAATAGAAATAAACAGCCCTGTTGAAGGATGGGAGGAGAGTCCTTTCCTAGCTTTTACATTGTACCATTAATAGTCAGTCATAAGCCACTTGCAAACTCCAAGTACTAAAGAAATAGAAATATTAATCTTCAACAACACTTCCTTTCCAATTTGGTGTGCTTAGTACCACTATATCCCAAGAATGTATTTGATTCCATAACCCCGCCCCCTCCTTTCGCTTCTTAGTTCATAAATTGAGATGGCTAAATCTTACCTTGTTGTGCTCAGTTTGCACTGGTTTGGGTGAGAGACCTCAAATTCATTGCATTCATGTTTTACCTCATATTAGGTCTACTTAATTCAAATTAAAAATACAAACATTTCTGAAAAGAACTTATGTTTGAAAAGCAGAAAGATTATTTTATACCTTGATGCTGAAATTTGATCAGAAGTTTTCAAATCAGATTGTTTAAAAAAAAAATCCATTACCTTTCCCCTCTATGCTTCCTAATGTCAGGAAAGGCCAGAGGAATTCAAAATTTTTCTTTTCCCATGACTCATCCCCCACCTATGGAATTTTGTGCTATATATTCCCTGCCTTGTCTGTTCTTCCTGTTAAAAATTCTCATCACAACACCCTACTTTTTTTTTTTTTTGCTGAGTCTTTCAATTTGCAATATCTTGAAGTGGCAGAGAAGGAGAAGAGGCTGAACTCTCAACCTCTGAAATCTCTTAATACTTGCTGAGTGGTCACAGGGCAAAGTGGAAAAGACTGATGGTTGGACTTTACCCCATTTGGAAAAGACTTTGCTACTGTAGCTCAACCGTCCCTGTTTTAAAGAAGTATTTACTTTCTTTAAAAGTCAAAATCTTTTGGAACATATTCCAAAAAAGTGAGACCAAATTTCTGTACTTAGTGGTTATCTTGGGGAACTTTGTTTTTCAGATCTGCTTTAAAAATCAAGTACTTTTGCATAATGTATTTAATACAGATTTAAAATAATTGTATTTTAGATTTATCATGTCTGTTGTATTGCTTCTTGCTATTTTCAAAGTACTTTACAATTATAAATAGACATCATTGCTCTCATGCTTAAGGCAGCAGTCCTGAGTGAAATTCTGCAGCAGGGAAGCCAAGCCACAATATTAATATGGTCATAAGTTCGTCATCTCTTAACATCAACAATCTGCCTCACGATCAGAGAGGTGCTGATAACTCCCCATCCTCTCCCAGATCTGCCTTTCAAATAATTTACAGATGCAAAAAAATAACAGAACCTGTGAAAGACCCCATTCCACCAGATTTTGTGTCATTCTTTCCTGGGCCTAGGAGTGGAGTCGTTTTCTCCCTGTGTCAGCTAACGCTAAATAAGAGCTGCGGACAACGAGGCTGTCACCTCTTCCTGGTGAGCTCCTTCCCACTGTGCTCTTCACAGTTCACGATTATACTAGATGAACCTCTTTTCCATTATTCGAAATTCTTTCCATTCCCCTCCCCCGCCGGCGGATCGCCTCCTACTTTCAGAAACTCGAGGATGATGCCCTTACAACCTTCTCTCCAGCATCCTCAGATGATCCAGACATAAATATTTCAGTGCGCTCGCCAGTGTCTTTCGGAGCATGAACGCGTCTGCACAACTAGTCCCTTATTGACGAAGCTGGACGCCCTGTAACGCTGAACTGGCTGCTGAAGTCTCCCAGAACAGTTGACACGGGAGAAAAGAGACGATTACGAAGAGAAATACGTCAGCCCATCTTCTTTGCGGTCTAACGTTTACCCTGAAGAGGAGGGAGAAGACGGAGGGAAGATGGAGAGGCCGGGACCGGGCGGGGGCGGAGCCAGGGGAGCGCGTAAAACCCCCGGCGAGGAGCGGAGCGCGATCCCGGCGCCGCGGCCGCTCTCCCGCAGCCCAGATGGGGCAGCCGGCGCCCTGAGCGCGGAGCTCGGCAGGGGGGAGCAAGGACGGAAGGCCGGCGACGGAGAAGGGGACATCTGCGGAAATCGGAAGGCAGAAGACCAGCAGAGGAAAAGAAACCCCCAGCAGGTGGAAACAAGATCCAGAGCAAACCAGTCGGATCCACAGTTGTTTTTCTGCAAGAGAAGTGCCAGACGATTGCCCTTTTCCCCTTCAGTGAATGAAAAGTACTTTTACCCTCTTAAAAGAAAAGGCAAAGGGGAGAGAAAAATCTGTTTTCTTAAGGGGAGAGCTGAGGGAAATCCAGACTATCTCTTTTCGAAGCGTCTGAAATAAGCCACTGCCTGGTACACATTGCAGAACCATCCCGCTTTCTGAAGATCTACATCCCTCCCGGGAGAATTCCAGCCGGAGGAGCTGGTACAGTTTTATTTTTGTATTTAAATATCTATGTCTATTCTTTCCCCTCCCTTTTAACAACAACGTTCCTTGTTCGTAAGCACGAGTGACGAGAAAGTGTCCATACAGAGTAGAAACATATTTCCATTTTCTCTTTTACCTGCCTGTGTCTTTCTAAAGAGGATAGGGGTGGTCCTTATTTTGAAAAAGGACATTTTCATTGGAAAGGCTCGCTCTGTAAATATATTTACACCCATTCGTATTTAGAGAGAGAGATACCTTTTGGAGGTTGAACTCCTGAGAAAGATGGAAAAAGGAGCCAGGCACCGAAACAACACTGAAAAGAACCAGCCAGGTGGGAGCGAGTCAGAGACGGGGTCCGAAGAGGGCGGAGTAGGCCTGAAGAAGGAGATCGGATTGGTCAGTGCCTGCGGTATCATTGTAGGTGAGTGCAGTTCCTTCTCCCCCCGACCACTTCCCTCCCTCTCTTGGTGGTCCTCCTGTAGGAACTTAACCCCTCTAAAGTACTATTTTTGCTTCTGATTCCCTTAGAAAATGATTGTCAGTCACCTGTGCTGTAACCTACCCCTTGCTGGTCAAATTTTGTCCAAACCAAGCTGAACAGTTTTGTCCAGTGCTCATAGAATGGGCACATAGGGATCACACACCTGGCTGTCAGCATTGCCTGGGAGCTTGTTGAAAAATACAGATCTTCAGGCTCCCCACTTGAAGGTTCTGATTCAGTAGGCTTACGGTGGGGCTAGGGAATCTGAATTTTAATGAGCTTTTATGCAGCCATCTTTTCAGCGCACTCTGGAGTAGCTTTTGAAACATGCTTAGTAGATATTTTGTTGTTTTTTGTTATATGAAACTATGAGCCTAGGAGATGTGTAATAATAAAAATAGCTACAATGACTATTATAATACCTTGCCTTTCTATACCTTTTCCACCTTATGCATTGCTTTGTGAAATAAATGTGGCAGGGCTTTTATTCCCATTTCAGAGGAGGGAATAAATGATGAAAGAAGAGACAGTGTCTTTCTGTAAATGTATAGTTTGCACTTTCTCTGGTTGCCTAGCGAAGTCCCCCTGTCTCTTAACCCTGTGAGGTTCTTGAAGGAAGCTGGGAGTAACTAGAATGTGGAGTCAGGGACAAACGGATGGGTAAAATTTGTCCTGGATAAGGGAGTGCCAGTGCAGGACACTCAAACCCCCTAACTACTCCAGTCAGCAGGGAGTCCCAAATATGGCTTCACCTCAAGAAAGCACATCCTTCTCTTTGCAGAGAGGCCCTGGAGATGCATGGACAGTGGCGCATTACTGTCATCGCTTCAGAGGGGGAGAGTTTCTCCTGCTGTTTTTGGCAGGGGGCTTTACCTTCTCCCCATGGAAAGGGGTGCGGGACAGACAGGCTGGTATGCTTCTGCATCATCTCTCCAGAGTTCTTTTTTTTGTTTTGTTTTTGTTAATCCTCACCTAAGGATATTTTTTTCCATTGATTTTTAGAGAGGGAGGGAGGGAGGGAGGCAGGGAGGCAGGGGGGAAAAGAGAGAGAAAAACACTGATGTGTTGCCTCCGACACATGCCCCCTGCCAAGTACATGCCCTTGACCCGGAATCGACCCTTCGACCCTTCTGTGTGCATGGGGTCCACACTCTAACCACTGAGCAACACCGGCCAGGGCTCTCCAGAGTTCTTTTTGAAGGCTTATTGTGTCTTGGTGCCCATGAACCTGTTTCGCTGGATGACCAAATGGTCCATTTGTTAGCACAGATATTTTTGGCACCTGTGCAATAGTGACACTAGAGAACACCCTTGAAATCAAATAAAATCACTGCAGTATTCAGATAATCCTCCTCACCTCTACACCCAGACTTAAGTGATAATGTTATCTCCATCCTGTGTGTTTTTTTAAAAAATAGAATCCCACTTTATCTAATTCTCTGACTCTGGGAAGCTTTTCAGGAATTTACAGTTATAAGAAAAGCAATGTTATTTTAAAAATTATAGTCTTGATTTGAATCTCTCATTACCCTTTCTTTGCGTCTCCTTCATCCCAACTGCTCTAAAAAAATGAGATCAGCAAAGTACTCAATATGTATAGCACAGGCCAATTTAAGGTCTATAAATAGCCCAAGCCTGTTACCTCTTTCACCAGTTTGATAGGATTAAGCATTTTCCTCCTTTTGGGAAGGTTCTGATTCATACACAGATGTGTACACCCACATGCACACAAGCACAACTGCCTTCTTCCTGCCTCAGCTTTGCTCATCCACTCCTACATATGGGCAGGTTTTCAAGGGTAGAGGATATTTTCTTGTATACTGAGGTTGATTTGTCTCTTTTTCTTTTCTTTTTTGTGAATCCTCACCTGAGGATATGTTTCCCATTGCTTTTCAGAGAGAGTGGAAGGGAGGGAGGGCAGGAGAAAGAGAACCATCAATGTGAGAGAGACACATTGACTGGTTGCCTCCCACACATGC